GAGAACCACTTGAACCCAGGAGGTGGAGGTTGCAGTGAGCTGAGATCACACCACTGTACTCCAGCCTGGGTGACAGAGCATCTCAAAAAAAAAAAAAAAAAAAAAAAAGCCAACAGGGAAAGAAAGCCTTCTTCCTTAATTAAGAACTTTTATTTTCATGGTTGGACAGAAATGACACAAATACTTTTCAGGATATTTATATTTAAAAAACAAATTCCAGAGATTGCTGTACTGTAGGGGAAAAAGAACTCCAACAATAAAAACAGCAAAACAACAAACAAAACCTGTATTCCCAGATTGACTGTGCTTGAAAAAATAAATTCAATTCAGGAAGCAAACTCTTCCTTCCAGCTGCCTCCCACCCAGTACAGAAGAACTCGGCACCAAGCTGCAGCAGCAGCTGCTCTGCTCGCCAACAGCTGCTGGGGAACTTGGCACCAGAACCTCCTGTCTCAGTGATGCACAGCTGCTCCAGTCACTGGACCAATCAGAGAATCACAGAAAAAGAATGCAATAAAGACATACATTTCTTGCAAATCACACCCTTCTTCAGCTGGAGGATCCCAAAAATGCAGAGCCACCTTCCAGAGTTTGATTTGCTGGTCCCACGAACGTCGACTATACTTCTTAAATTTATTAGGGGTCTTGGGATGAATGCCAGGTTGTCGAAGGTGTCTACAGGAGAAAGATTATTCTAGCACATGCCACTCACCTTTCCACATTAGCTCGAAAATTAACCAAACTATGAGATTAGTATTATTTTTAAAATTATAGATCACCAGGCGTGGTGGCTTACACCTGTAATCCTAGCATTTTGGGAGGTCGTGCCAAGATAACTTAAGCTCAGGAATTCAAAAAAGGCCTGGGCAACACAGTGAGACCTCATCTCTATTAAAAAAAAAAAGGCCAGGCGCCAGTGGCTCACACCTGTAATCCCAGCACTTTGGGAAGCTGAGGCGGGCGGATCATGAGGTCAAGAGATCGAGACCATCCAGGACAACATTGTGAAACCCCGTCTCTACTAAAAATACAAAAATTAGCTGGCCCTGGTGGTGCGCGCCTGTAGTCCCAGCTACTTGGGAGGCTGAGGCAGGAGAATTGCTTAGAACCCGGGAGATGGAGGTAGCAGTGAGCTGAGATTATGCCACTGCACTCCAGCCTGGGTGACAGTGCGAGACCCCATCATGAAAAAAAAAAGAAAAAACAAAAACAAAAAACAGCTAGGGGCTGGGCGCAGTGGCTCACACCTATAATCCTAGCACTTGGGAGGCCGAGGCGGGTGGATCACCTGAGGTCAGCAGTTCAAGACCAGCTTGGCCAACGTGGCAACACCCCGTCTCTACTAATACAAAAATCAGCCGCTCGTGGTACCTAGAATCTTAGCTACTGGGGGGCTGAGGTAGGAGGATTGCCTGAACCAGTGAGGTAGAGTCTGCAGTGAGCCAAGTTCGTGTTGCTCCAGCCTGGGCAACAGAGCGATACTTCGTCTCAAAAATAAAAAACCCTGCTGGACACGGCAAATCACTTGAACTCAGGAGTCTGAGATCAGGCTGGCCAACATGATGAAACCCCATATCTACTAAAAATAACAAAAATTAGCCAGGCATAGTGGCTCATGCCTGGAGTCCCAGCTACTGCAGAGGCTGAGGCAGAAGAATCACTTGAACCTGGGAGGCGATGGTTGCAGTGAGCCTAGATCATGCCACTGCA